ATTCAATATGGCATAAATGCTAAAAGCATTCTAATGTATTCTATCCATTCACATTGCACATTTGCTCATGTACATAAATATAATCACTATATGCAAATGAGTAAGTGGCATGTCGGTTCTGTACAGAGCCTACAAGGCAAAGTATGGCATTTGCTTTCTTTTTCATTCATTTTAAAAATAGTATTCTATTGTATTTTGGGGGTCCTGGTGTGACGCTTTAAGGAAAAGCACTGGCCTGCTAGTCGGAAGGTCAGTGGTTCAAACTCACAAGCCACTTCTCAGAAACCCAACAATAATTGTATTTTTGGTGGAAGTATACACAGCGAAGGGAGTTCTCATTCAACAATTTCTAGACGCACTGTCCAGTGACACAGGGGGCACTTCTTACAATATGACAATGTTATCATTTCTGTTCTAGCTGCTCAGTTCCCCTTTAACCGAGTCCTCATGGCTCATCCCTCCAATCTCCTCAGCTGGGCATTAGCGTACTAGTTGACCATGTGGTCTCATACAGATGGTTTTAAAAAAAGAACACAGTACTTCAGGGTGAGATCCATTATGAGCAAATCTGCTAGTTAGCGAAGAGGTGACTTGAAGGGATAGTTTTGGTTCGAGGCTTATAGAAAATCTCAGGACGATAGTGTTGGGGAATCCTCCTGTCTCTGTGAATCAAGGTAAGTCTGGATTTTTGAGAATTTGAAGTTGTTTTTTTAAAAGTTTTTCTTGTGAATTGAGTGATAGTTTACATGGGAGAACATTGGTTTTACACTTATCATTTCATTGCAGTGGTTAAATCTCCTCCGTGCATCATCATTCAACAATATTTGCATCTATTCCCTTTGTTTTCTGGATGTACACAAAAACACTCAGGAATATATCATCATCTAAACAACCAAAGGACACATTCTGCAAGCCTGCCTTCTGGCCGCCAGCACACAGCCTTTCTCTTTCCATGAGTCTAGAGTCCTCAGCTACTCTATCTCTCCATGTCCTCATCTCTGCCGTCACTTGCTTCTCTGGATAGGGTCCCACATTCCACTTGTGCACTTCTCCCTTGATGGCCCTAGGGTCCTCTGTTCCTGGACTGTAAGATTAACTAACCCCCTCTTTTTGTTAAAAAACTTCTACCTTTACAGTGTGATAGTCGCAATTAGTCATGATACCAATTATTCACTATTGAATCATAAGACTCTTATTTCCATCTCCTTTCACTAGACCCATCTAGACAAGATGAAAACTATTCAGTGGGGATTCTACCTTCCCCCCTACACTCTGAAACTAAACTCTGAAACTAAACTAAACTTGAAAACTTGTAAGCTAGTCACTTCATGCCTTTATAGCCTCCACCCCACCCCCCACCACCAATTTTAGATAGCCAATGTCTAAGTTGCCCATCCCTATCAACCCTTTATACAAAGGGGATAGGATTGATACTTGATGTTAAGACACCTTCCCTCTCAGTTGGCATTTTGAGCTACTACATCTATAAGTATAGGTCAAGTTCATCAAACTGTAGCAATTTACATTTGTTTCCTTGATAAAAAATTTTTTTTTTTAAATCTTCTTCTAGTTGAGTTTTGATTATCAAGCCATCGCGGCTAGGACAAATGGGTGCTATCTGCAAGTTTGGGTGCTCTTGTGCATCGCCCCTCACTTCTTATCAGCTGGATGCTTCACTCTCAGCTCTAGCCCTCTGTGGCTATGTCTTTGTCCATGTCCAAAGAATTTGAAGTTTTGTTCCACATTTCTCTCCCTTTCTATAAGGATCAACTTATTGTGATCGTCACCAGAAGTATAATAGTGGTAGCTGGGCACCATCTAGTCCTTCTGGTCTCAGAGGAGGCCACGGTTCATGTCAACAATCAGTTCTATCGACCACTTCCTTCTTTTTTTTGCTCCTTAGATGGTTGCTCGTAAGCTTCTAAGGCACCAAACACAACTGAGCAGTCTAGGATATAGAACAAACTTTATGAACTGCAATATGCCAGTTGATTGAGTTGTCCCAGGTGACTATGGCATTGAGTCTCCACACCAAGAAAACTAATGTTGTTGCCGTTCAGTGCTGCCGAGTAGATTTGAACTCATAGCAACTTTGTTTAGGGTTTCCAAGGAGTGGTTGGTGGGTTTGAACTTCCGATCTTGCAGTTAGCAGTCCAGTGCATATCCTAAGCGTTACATCAGAAAACTAATATACCATGAGGTAATTAGTGAAGTTTAAGAATAGGAATCTGTGACCCTCATTTAATTAGAAATATATATATGTTTATACACACACACACAGAGCCCTGGTAACTCTGTCAGAAAGCGGCGGGAAACTTTTCTTCTACAAAATTTATAACAGCATTCACCACAAACTATACAAAATTATCACCTTAAAAATTAGCCTGTTATATTTGACCAAACATTTAATTAACTCACCCCTAATCTGATAGCTGGAACTGTGGTTGCCTTGGCAGGACCCATGGGCCTGTTGTTCGCCACCACAGCTGTAGGATAAGCACTGGACTGTTAATTCAAACCCAACAGTTGCTATGTGGGAGAAAAATGAGGCTTTCTGCTCTTGTAAAGATTTACAGCCTTGGAAGCCCTGTAGTTGCTATGAGTCAGAACTGACGGGGCAAGGGAGCAGCAGTAACGCACACAGGGTGTTGTTGTTAAAGTGCTTTCTAGTCGGTTACGGCTCACAGCAACCTTATATAGGGTTTCTGAGGAGTGGCTGGTGGGTTTGAACCGCCTACCTCGAAGTTAGCATTCCAGGGATTATCCTACAGGGCTGCACCAGGACTCCCATGTACACATCTACATACATACATATATACATATGAACCCTTGTTGCGCAGTAGTTAAGCTCTGACTGCTAACGGAAAGGGCAATTGCTCTATGTGACAATTGACTTCTGTAAAGATAAAGTCTCAGACACCTGATGGAGCAGTTCCAGTTTGTCCTGCAGGGTGGTTGTGACTCTGAATTGACTAAACAGTGATGGGTTAGGTTTTGTTGGCTTATTTTTAATACATATATATGCACACCTAGACACCGGCTTTTTGTAGCTCAATTCTACCAACTTGTAGCATGTTAAAAGTTGCACATACCTGTTAACTAGCATCGAGAGTTTTATTCTGTTCTATGCTGTCGTTACATGTCATCGAGTCGGTTCCAATTCATAGTGACCCTGTATAGGGCTTCTGAGGAGCGGCTGGTGGTTTTGAACCCCTGACCTTGTAGTTAGCAGCCCTGTACTGATCCTAGAGCGCCACACAGTTCTCTGTGCTATAGGGTATGGCAGTGAGAAAGCGATCTTATATGATTACAAAAATATTCAAGGATAGCTCCAAATGGAATCTTAGGCGCCAAGTCCTTCAGCAGCTACAAGCCATCCTTCTCCAGGAGTCCTGGAGGCTCGGTGAAGGGGCGCGGGTACCAGAGTAACGGAGTAAGCAGTGAGGCACCATACACAGCTCTCCCAAGACGCCATGAGCCTCAGCTCAGAAACTTTCCCAAGAAGTAGCAAGAACAGCAATGCCTATGAGGTCAAGGGAGCGAGTTTCAGTCAAGAAGGGTCACCTTCAGTCCTGGATCTTTTGGCATTGACCATTCAAGTCCAGTGTCACAGGCAACTCTGGCCCCAAGCGACACCTACAAGTCTAGCCAGGCTCACCTGGCCAGGACATGAAACCGCACTTTGTCCCTTTCTGTTCTCCATAGCCTCTACTCACGAAGGTAACTGAACAGAACGGGTATCAGAATCCTAGACGGGGCCTGGGCTGTCCCTGAGAGCTGGGCAGATAGGCATTACTGCTGCTCCCTTGCCTCGCCAGTCAGCTCGCCTAGAACCCAGCACACGGCTGAGTGCTGGCAGGCGTCTACAGCACAGAAGAGCAATGGGCCCATTCATGAATCATCCCTCTTTTGTACTTCCGCTTGGAAGAATATAATTTGCTAATTTACGGCAGTTGTTATGGCTCAATTAAGATGCCAACACAGAAAAGGCTGGCTGAGCTTGGCCTTGAGACATGCCAACCTCAGGTGATTACAACTGTGTTTTGTCACTCTGAGGCCCACCAGTGGTATCAGACAAGGCTTAGCACCAAAGGAGCAAACAAACGGGCAACTGGTGGAAAATAATCACACTGCCCAGCCAAATTTAGGCTTTCACCACTGCACCCTGAGAGTCAATCCTGCAAAGGCCCAGGTGGGGTCCTGCAGATGGCATTTAAGGAATAGATGTGGTTACCTAGCATGCAGCAATAGAAACATGAAGTAAATGGGCAGTGTTTGGGACTCCTGGCTGTGCTGAAACAGAGCTGGGCCAGGTGATGGGCCTGTGAGGTTGGGAAGCGGCTAGTCTCCAGGTGAGCACTTGCAGCAGTTTCTCTCTGGGATTGGCTGGAGTCATCAGAGAGAAGAGTGGGCACAGCCAAGTAGGCTGCCCCTTTCCTGGCTTTGACAAAGGTATTCGTGTCACACTCCCCTCCCTTCTCCCAGCACCCATACGCCTTTACTGTCAGGAGGGGGCCAGGCATTGTGCACATTAACCTATACGCCAGATGAGGAAACTGAGGCCAGGAGATGAAGATACCAACTCAAGTCCACACAGCGGGCAGACTTTGGTAAGTGTCAGGCTAAGCTGTCTCCTGAAGAAAGCCTCCTGGCCCCTGCTGCAGCATACCCCCTACCCCCCCC